GGGAAAGCCTGGCCAAGGGAGGGCAAAACGCTGCCCGGCAGCCAGGGCTGAGCCAGGGGAACCGAGCCACAAACAGCCCTGCGAGCCCCGGGGGGACAGCGGGAGCGGGGCCGGGGCCGGCAGAGAGCCGGCAGGGATGGGCCTGCGGCCAGGGAGAGACCCCGGGCGGGCCGGGCCTTCCCTGCGGCTCCTGGGAATGTTCCAGGCTGAAGGAGTCAACAGCGTGAGGAGAAGGAAGAAGCCTCAAGCAGGAGCTGTTAAGCCCTGAGCATACATAGTCCCCCATTCTTCATCCCTCTTGCGTGGCTCAGGAATGAAGGAGTAAAGAAGGAAGAAGGGAGCAGCAAGGGCGGTGTGTGTGTGGAGAGTGAAGAGAAATCTTTTCATATTAGCTTTTGCCTCTCACCATGCAACTTTCTCTTAATTGTCAGTAAATTAATTTTCCAGAAGTTGAATCTGTTTTGCCTGTGATGATAACTGGTAAGGCATCTCCCTGTCTTTATCTCAACCCACAAGCTTTCTAAGTCCTGTTCTTTCTTGTTTTCCACCCCATCCCTTGGAGGCTGGATGTGGGGTGGGTAGCTGAACAGATGGATGAAAGTTTGGCTGTTGGCCAAAGCTAAATCACAAAAGCTCGCTGGTCTAAAGCTACTTCAAAGACTTTTCAGTAAAACAAAGACTTTTACAAATCTGAACTCCAAGGGTAATCCCAAATACCCTAGTACAGAGAGTGCTAATTAGTTCAATTCTTTTATCTAAACTAGAGAACTATTATCTAAACTGCTAAAAGGGTTTATACTATGGAGAAGCCCTCTCTCCATTTCTGAAGGCAAGTGTAGTTTATTTCTTTTAAGGCTTGGCAATGCACATTACAGGTTTTGGACCATTTATTAAGATAGCATAGTGAGAATAAAAACCTCTTCCCAAATTTTCTCTTTAGTTCTGTTATCTTAGATAAAATACTATGGGAAGAAGACTTAAAAACTATTCAGAAAAAATCTTGGCACAAATAAATTATTGCTTCATTATGTGTTTGTTATAGGATGCCACTTCAACAGAGTGAAGTCCATGGATTTGATACAAATTTTTAAATTTTTTTTTTCCTCTTTCTCTTCTAATAGAAGTCAGTCTCAATGCATATGGTCAATGTATATTGTCAGGAGTCATGAATAAACTGCTTGGAAGGACGCCATGCATAAGTTTGATTTGAAGGAAATATGATGCTACTAGACATTATTGGGTTCCACAAGACTAACTTCTGGTAACTGAACATTCACAGTTTGGCAGGCACCTTCACAAATGAATCCAGAATGGTTGTTCACGGTAATTTGCTTCCAGTGCTCTTCTTGGTAATTTAATTGTAAATGAAACAGTTTTACTGTAAACAGATGCAAGATTCCCCCGCCTTGCTGCCCTGGGAGACTGTGAAAAGGTAAAATTAATAATTTTTAACATCGCCTTTGTAACAATTCTATATCTACCTACAGATAAACTTTATATCTTCATATAATGATAGCTTTGGTTGCTTAGAACCACATAGTAGTTCAGGCTGATAGGGGCCTCTGAAGATTTTCTCATGAAACCCTAGCCCAAGCTGTCTCAGCTACAGCAGGTTGACTGGGACTGTGTCCAGCTGAGTTTTGAGTTAATTCAAAACATGCTGATATCCTGTACAAAAGTTGGCAAGGAATCCTCAGCTGACTTTGGGGGTGGGCAAACAAATCATTACCATGATGTTAGATTCATCATTCCCATGAATCCCGCCCTCATCTTTGCCACTACTTTGCCATCCATGTCTGATCTGTGCTGATCATTGGTGTCCCCAGTATAAATGACAATTGCTCAGTTATCTACTACCTTGTGAGTGTACAGATGGGTCTCAGTCCCCCAGGACTGGGCTGCTGTGTTAGAAATCCAGGATTATTCACAAGGTGCTAATGCAATGTCTTCCATTTCCATCTAGGACCTCTCAAGCAGAGGCTGGGAGCAAAACCCTTAGGTTTTGCTGGGGTCATGGGTTCAACGCCCATAGAAAGTCACTTAAGCCTGACAGGTCAGCCTATATGTATCCTTAGTGGAAACTGACTCTTTTCATTGCATATGTACTCACCAACTCTGGTGGTTATTAATGGTGAGAATTACTAGTGTGACCTGTGTGTCCCAATTGGGTGGGAAGACATCAGCACACCTGTTAATCAGGCTATTATTCTGCTCATTAATCCCATTGTCTTGGGGCTTCTATGGCAAATGGAGCACCCACTTAATTCCCACCTTTCAAGCCCAGCCTTGAAACACTGGTGCAGCAAATGATCTGGAAGTGCTGGTTGACAGGTGGCTGAACATGAGCCAGCATGTGCTCAGGTGGACAAGAGAAATAGTCCTGGCTTGTATGAGAAATAGTGTGGCTGGCAGGACTAGGACAGTGATCCAGAGAAGAGCAATGGACCTAGCGAAGGGTTTGGAGCACTGGTCTTAAGAGGGAAGGCTGAAGGATCTGGGGTTGTTTAGCCTGGAGAAAATATTTCTACAGGTACCTGAAAAGAGGTTGTAGCCAGGTGGGAGTCAGTCTCTTCTTCCAGCTAACAGGTATCAGGAAGGTATCAGGACAAAAGGAAGTGGCTTCAAGTTGCACCAGGTAAAGTTTAGATTGGATATTAGAAATAACTGCTTCACCAAAACGATTTTCAAGCACTGGAACAGGATGCCTGGGTAAGGGATTGATCACTATCCTGGGAAGTAGATGTGGTGCCTAGGGACATAATTTAGTGAAGGACTTGGCTGGTTTGACAATTGGACTTGATGATCTTAGAGGTCTTTTCCAGTCTTAATTATAGTATGATTCCAAATGCCTCTTAAAAACTGACTGTCATGGGGCACTAACCACTTCTCTAGGAAGCCTGTTCCAGTGTCTGACTACCTTTTCTGTAAAGAAATACTTCCTAATGTCAAGTCTGAAACTCTCCTGTTGCATCCTTGAAGAATTAAGGATAAGATTCCTGTCACAAGATGTTAGGGAGAAGATGTCAGCACCTCCCTTTTCCCTGCCCCTCCTCAGGAAGCTGTAGAGAGCAATGAGGTCACCCTTTAGCCTTCTCTTCTCAAAACTGGACTATCTCAAAGACCTTAGCCACTCCTCAAGATATTCCTTCTACCCTTTTCACCAGTTTGGTTGCCCTCCTCTGGATGCATTCAAGGACCTTAGCATTCTTTGCAGAGGTGGCCTCTATGATTGAAGAAGTGTCCATCATATGATTCAGGAAACAACCATATAAAAATATGGGAATTTCTATTCAGCTGAGGCTGAGAAATATCTTTTTCCTCTACTGAAAAGCAATGGTGGATTTTGTTTTAATTACTGAAAAACTACCGAAAAAGTATTTTTCCTTAATATATATTTATTCTTACATGCTTTCCTGCTCCCATTTTTCCTACTTAAGAAAGCTTCTTTCTTTCAGGAACAAAAAAAATACGTACCATCCAGACTTATGAATGATAAAAAGTAAATAGTGCGTGAGCAGTGAATAATCCAGTTTGGTCATAAACTCTGAGAGTTAGAGTCACAAAGAGAAAAAGATATTAGATATTAAATAAGTCACAAAAACACAACAAAATTACCTGATTCTTCACAATAAAGGTTTTGCCCCATCTGTTCTCTGTATGAATGAACTCGTTTATTCTTGACTTCACCATTTGTCAAACCTTTCTTTCTAGAATCTACCAGATTTATCTTCAGTCAGACATGAGGAATATCAGACACAGATATTTTCTTATCACATGAACATGGGAATTTAGTCTACTTGGAGTGCATTTATGCATTTTTATCAAATTAATCTCAGCACGTAGTGTAGTGACTATATTGTTTGATACAGCAGCTAGATTGCAGTCTGTCATACTCACTTTCAATCATGCATCTCATAATCCAATGCAGATGTATTGATATGCAGCTCCTTTAGGCAGCAAGCCAGCACTTCCAAGGTCAGTTATTACTGAAGTAGGAGACCATGATCAGGATGTCAAACCACTAATACATAACTACCACAGAATGCTACAACATTTCTCCTGGATGACATCTGTAGACTATGGAATGAAGTAGATTGAATCTTGTTAGCAAGTCTAAGGAAGCTCTTACCTAGAGTGGGCTGGTGATGTAGATTCATGCAAGATCCCTTCACTAGGAGCAGTATCATTATGGCCTAAGTTCAGAAAGGAATACAGAGAAGGAACAGCAGGAGGAACTGGTTGCCAACAGTGATTACCTGATTATAGAACACATGGGAAAATCAAAGGCAGAAAGGTGAAAAAAAGCCAGCTTTCATGGAGGTCAAACCCTTGTGTTTGGCTGTGAAGTTCCTGACTACACTAAATCACTGTGTAATGAAAGGGGTGACTTTGCACCCTGACCCTTTTGCATCCCCTTCTCCATATAGATTCAACATAGATTCAACATTAACTCTTAGATTTTCCTATATATGCTTTATCTATGTAGCAAGCTGTAGAGTGAACCTTGCTACAGAACTCTGCTAAAGTCACACTTTCACAAATTCATGTTAAAACCTGTTTTTTGCTGACACCTTTGATGATGGTTCCTTAAAATGGCTCAAACCACTCAGTTGAAACAAGGATAGGGAATGGGGGTTACAGTCAGTTCAAAATGCTATGTTTTTGCTGTTCCTTGCTCCCCACACTCTTCCCCTGCTCCAGCATGACATCCCACCCTTGCAAGACAGTTCTCCATGAATTCCATGAACTTCTCCAGTGTGGGTCCTTCCCAAAATTTTCAGCTTTTCAAGAAGTGCTCCAGTGTAGGTCTTTTTACAGAATACTGTCCTTTAGGAATGGGCTGTCCCAGCACGGGTCCTGCCAGAAAACCTACTCCATTGAGACCTGTCTGTGAGCTATTGCCTTCTTCAGGGCACATCCACCCATTCTGGAATGGGATTCTCCACCAAGGCTGCAGGTGGATCTCTGCACAGTCCTCCATGGGCTGAAGGGGCACAGCTACCTCACCATGGTCTTCACCATGGGTTGCAGGAGAATCTCAGCTTTGGTGGCTACAGACGCTTCCTTCTCCTGCACTGACCTTGGTGTATGCAGGGCTCTTTCTGTCACATATTTTCACTCTCCTGGCTGCTGTTGAAAACCTTTTTTACCCATTCTTGAATATGGTATCAGAAAGGTGCTATCAATGTCCCCACTTGGCTTGCTTTGGTCGGAGACAAGGCTGTCTTGAATCCTGCTGGGTATGGCTATTTTGCAGAATCACAGAATATTCCAAGTTGGAAGGCATAAGACAAGAATCATCAAGTTCAGTTGTGAAGTGAATGTCACATATGGGTAATCTGTCCAACACGAGGGCAGCTTCTGGTGTCTTCGCGCAGAAGCCACCCCTGCATCCCCTTGCCCCCAAAACTTTGCCAGATTAACCAAATACAGTAAGGAGCAACAACAAAGATCTTAAGTGAAATGTGGACATAACAATTTGAAACATCATTATAACTACAGAGACAGGCAATAGAAAATCTGGTGGAACAAATGACAAGTTAAAATTATGCTGAACTTTTTTAAAACAAATTTGAAGTGACAAGTCAAACATATGCTATGTCATAAATATATATACTGTTGCTCAAGGGTTTTTTTATTTTTTTGCCTCCAGTACTATGCTCCTTCACAGTAATTTTGTTTCCACAACTGAATGTGAATTTCTTTTTAAAAATAAAATACAACCACAAAACTACTTTCAATAATCTTGTACCTTTTCTCTGTCTTTCTCTCTTATTCCCCCATCATTTACACCTATTCTGTCAGGGCCTTTTTCTGATATATTGTCATACTGGAAATCTTTCTTGGACATATTCATACCACCTATTCTAACCTTCTGATTTTTTGGTAGATTTCATACCACATGATCAAATAATTTACGATTAGTTCTCTCTGTGTCTTACTAATTCACCACTCTGTCAGCACCTGCACTGATGGGATGTTCTGCAATGTTCCAATCTGTAGCAATCTTTGGTACTGTAGTGATCTTTAGAGACACTGTAGATTAACTCAAGAAAGTATTATGCGTTTTGGAAATAGTATTGAAGGTGGATGTGAAGCTGAAGGTGGAAATACCTCATTTACTAGTACTGAAAGCTTAATTCTGTTCCTGGATGAATTCAAATCAACTGCCTACTTACTTTTCAAGACTCTCTATTTCCCATTGATCTGTTTTACAGCAAAACTACAGAACAGCATCTTTCATAATTTTATCTGGTTTTGTTCCCACCATGCATACACTGGGAATCTTCTTTTCCAGAACAAATGGCTAAAGATGCTGCTTAAGTATGACCTCTGAAGTTTAAAATTGGCCTTCTCATCCAAGAGTTATTATCATATCAGTGGTTATTAAATTTCTCCACAAATCCTTGTAGATATATTTGCAACAAAATTTATATGTCACTTCTCCTGTGTGACTATTTTATGAATTTTCCACTTTGATTGTACATGCTCATAAAGAGCTGACTACATAGATTTTAGGTTATTTAATAGACGTAAGGTTTCTGAGGAACAGGAGAAGATCTGTTCTATAATATATTCTCCCTCTACCTCAGACAATCTAATTTTGGTTTTGCTTTTTAAACCTTGTTCGTCTCTCAGCTGATTATTCTGCACATTTATTAAGTTACATGGGAAAAAACCCAACCAACCAACCAACCAAACATAAAAAACTTGCTTCACTGACTTTTGAGTTATTTAGATTTTGCTTTTAATAGATACAATTTAAGAACTTAGGTGAATGTCCTGTTTTGCTTGTTTCAGTTCCTTTGGGGCCATAATTATGTTGTGAAATATTTCTCATCTAGCTTGTATGCCAGCTCTCAGCCTGACAAAATTTAGAACAGTAGAGATACTGCTTAAATAAACTTCATTTTCCAAAATATGGTTCATAATGAAAATACTGACAGGCACTTAAACGTAGCTACATTATAGCCAATAAAATGCTAAAATATATTAATTTTAAAACATTCAGTGAAACATGACCTACTGTCAGCTAATTCATGGTTACTGGAAAATCTAATTATGTCAAATGATGATTGTGTTTAATTCCAAGTTTAATTGCATACAGCATATAACACACCCTCCACATACCCTACCCCCTTCCCCCAAACTGGGTAGACTATTACGAAGCACTGGATGACTCAGTTACTTGGAATCAAAATTTTGTGGACGTTAAGACTGAACAGAATACATAAACATTAGGCACTGAATCCCATGAGATGGGTACAAATCAAGCACTGAACACTCTCCCCGCCACATTCCCTCCCACTCACCCTAGCATTTTTAGATGCCTTAATACCTTGGAAAATCGGGGAACAAAAGGAATTTAAGAACAGCTGTACACTACTTTCTAACACATATTAGATTTAGATTCCAAAATCTCATTTTTTCAAATATGATTTAAGAGGCCAAATTACTATAGTTTCTATGCAGATCTTTTCTATTTACTGTCACAAAGCTGCCTTAAAGGAAGAAAGGTAACAGAAAAATAATTTAAAAATACACAATTCTTCCACTTGCAAGAAACTCCTCACAAATCTGTCCCCTTCATACATAAAGCAATCTATTCAGGCGCCCCATGCACATTCAGAGACAGAAGTGTGTGCTTAGAGCCACTACCACCTTGCTAATTAGGCCTGTGGTATTCTACAACTTGTAATGCATTCCGTTTCCATTATTTGGCCATTTAAAACTTGATCATTCAGGTTAAAACCCATTTAATTCCTTCACTGCAAAGGGCAAGGGGTGAACAGAAGGAGGGTTAAAAGCACCCTTTTTCACAACTTCAAATGTAAAGCTATCTTTTAATACAAAACCTTAGTTCTTGTAATAAATGTAGTCACCTATAGTAGTATTTGTGGGCAACATAAGACATTCTTCCCTCCTCACTGTCTGTCACTGAGATCCCCCTAAGCTAGGGACTGAAATGACAAATGGCCCAAAAGCTACTCCTGATAAGCCTTATTTTATTAATATTTTCTGGCATGAATCCCTTCTCAGAAAGATGATGAAATTGGAGCAAAGTTAGCTAATACCTGCACTACTGAAAGGTATCTTTCATCAGGTGAAACCACTTGATCAAACATTATTTTATGACCTAGTCAGAATAAAAAGGAAACTTCTGCTTTTTAATTGTCTTCAAAATTCCAGAAGCTTTCCTCCCCATGGTGAACAGGTGCTGAGAAATACCTAAACAAGACTAATAGATGTTAGTATTTACATATAAATGTCTCTAGTATTTCTTATTAGCTTATCCACCAAATCCATTTTGAATTACTCTTTATCCAGTGCAATTGCCTAATTATAATATTAATAAAAAATATTTGAGAATGCAACAAAATTATTTTTAAAACTTTGGTTTTACATTTAACCTAAAATTAGGTTTTCATCATAAAAGTACACCATTCACACAATACCATGTTGGGCATTACAGAAATTTTAGTGGTTAGGAGGACATAAGGAGGACAAGGATTAGATGGTCTTGCCTAATGAATAAGGTCAGGAACTAGGAGGGGAAAGAAACTCCAGTGTCAGAAGTTAACACCCAGGTTCAGCGTGGAAAGCTAGAGTCAGAAGAAGAGATTCCAAGTCTGAAACATTTATCAGACAGAAAATGACTGTTCTAAAGAAGATTTTTTGTTCAAATACAATTATGGTCACACCTGCAAACTCTGTGGTGGAGATTTCCTGTATGAGGCTGAGGATATAATGCTGCTGAAAACACCTCTATAACAACACGGCTGCATGAAGAAGAACAAGAACAAGAACAGCAGCTCTGCCAACTTTGAGTCACAGTTTAAATTTCTGTCACATTGTTTAAATGATGTTTTTGTTATTAAAAGTTCTACACTGTATCTAAGATGCAAGAATTCACAAAGAAGTGACACCTGTGTTCTCGTAAGTTTTCCTATTCTGCCCAGTGTATAGCTGTACTAGTTACAGGCTTCAAGTAAATAGGCTTTCTCCTTCTGCCAAATGATGACAGTCTTAGAAGACTTAAAATGATGTATTATGCGACATAAAGTTTTCCCTGTTAAGTTGTATTTGATTTTTGACACAGACCAGTGCCATGTTAAATTTAAAAATATTATTATTTTTGATGAAACCTGGTGACAGATGAGAATTCTAATAAAACTCCATCTAAATTGATGGTAAGCAATAATAATTGCTGACAAAAAATTAGTGATAACAATAGTTAATGTTAATATCAGTAAAATTATTGTGTCTGAGACTATTTCTTTTTCTATTTAAAAGGGGCAAGAATTCCTATTGATGTAAGAGGGATTATATTCAGATGCAAAATGGAGTTATTTATTATTCCCCCATGCTAAAAAGCTTCAATTACTGTTTGGAATATTCAGTAATTATTCCAATATATAGTTTCATTTTCACATCACAGTGTTCTTCACAAGTACAATACAACACTATGTGACTTTATAGGTTGCATGATTGGTTATATATATTGCATCATAACACTGACAAATACATTCACTGTGCACAAGTGGAACACAAAATATTTCTGTTTGAGCTAATGTATTCCTTCTTGAAGTTCAGTTTCTGTATGAAATAAGACTTAGGTGACTGTGCCCTGTCTTCATCTGTCACGGATGACAGGTACTTTTGAACACATTGCTCGATCTCAACAGCATTTGACAGAAAAATGTGAAGACAGAGAAATGTGAAGCCTCTATCCTGCTTATGAAAACTGACAGCTGATAAAATGTAGAGGCCTAAATTAATTTTGCAGGCTGAATAAGGCAAGTGGAATTCAGTGCCTAAGCCTGGTCACTTTAGAAACCCATACTGTGAATTAGCTGTCAGCTGCCCAGTCAGAAGAGGGGTGCAACCAAACAAACTACAGCAAATGACTATTTTTACCCAGAAAAATATGCAAAGTATATAAGAGGAGATATCAAAATATTAGGTAAAAGGTGGCTTGGCAAAAATTCCTTATGGGGAAAAAAACCCCAGTCATTTTAGCTTAACTATTTCCAGATAATTTTTCTTTTTCTTATTCCCTCTACCAGCCTTCTTTTCCCTCCTTCAGCAGACAAAATACTGAGAACAGAATTAGCTCCTTTTGTGTTAATTTCTGTACATCATCTCTATATCTTTATATACAGTACATATGGTAGATAATGGGAGGGAAAAAAAAAATAGTTTAATTCTTGACCCTGTCCTCAAATGCATATCTAACTTTTCACTGTGCCAAGCTATTGACTAAAAAGACATTACTTCTGTAATCATGTAACACAGTAGAACTGGTGTGAATAAGACTGGAGACATAACCTTTGCCAGCAATGATGCCATAGGAATGGAATGAGTATGATTTTATTATAGAGTACTCTTCCAGTGGAATATTTGACTTGAGTTTCTTAATGAAGCTTTAATAGGTTTCTGTTTTTAGACTAATAGCTGTTCAGTTACAGACACTCAAAATAATTATTTATACCTTTTATACTGAGACAATGTCTAGGAGGGATATGGACTTATGCCTACTGTACCTATGATGGACCCCTAGGAGCAGAGATCTTAATAGGAGGATAAATGAAATATGTGGGTCAGCAAGAAACCATCAGTGGAGATGATTTGGCTTGGCACTTTGCATGATATGGCCCAACACACTCGCTACAATTTTTAAATACTTTTACCTGTAAGGATCTCAGACATGCAACAGAAAAAAACATGCTACAGTGAATACCTTTCATAAGCAGCAAAAATTAATGTAGAAGTTAAGGGGTAAGCAGGCTTAGTTATCATGAGCACCTCTGTGGATGTCCTGATGCCTGGTAAGATCCAGAGTATTGCAGAATTTCTGTCACTGGGATGTTATAGAGTCTCTCTTTGCTCTATCTGCCTATTTTCATGAAGTGTCTATTGAGACTTTTAGGTTTTATTTAAATTTGTTTGAAAGTGGTTAGTGGGTCTAACTGGTTGGTCAGAAATAAAAATGGGGATGAGACATGAGAGACAGTGCTGTTGCATACACCTCATACCTTTAAGAAACTATATTAAATAACTTAATATTAACATTTTAAGGTAATAAATTAAGATATATCTATCTTTACTAATCTGAGATAATAGTATGATAATTGTATCATACCTTACTATATCCTTTAAATAACACCAAGAGGCGATCTCCCAAGGAACATCTAGTGTCTTTTACTAAATAACCCCTTCAATTCAGTTTTGTGGCAACAGTTATGAAACATCGTTTGAATATTATCCAACAAGTGTTCAGCTGATTCCCAAAATAAGTGGGAGGAAAGTAATCACAATTATTTCCCTTGACCTTAAAAATCAGTTATGGTGACACATCCCCCATCCCTTCTCTGAGTCAGAGAATTTCTCCTTTTTTAGTGAATCTGTCTTTGTAGTGATAGAACTCTTAGGAAGTCCAAACTTAGCATCATCTGTTGCTAAAGGTCTCAGTCCAGTAACACCCTGGCTAACTTTAAGTACAGCCTTAAAGGATTTGCTGAGTAAGAGTGAACCTACATGAACAATTATATTTAGGACATGATCATATGCTTGGGTGACTTCAGCTTTGAAAGCAATGCTGTAAGGGTATGAAAAGAGATTGCCCACATAATTAAAAGATTAGCCCATCTGAATACTGACATTGTTAACCCTGAAAAGCTATTTTACATAAGGACCAAGCTAATAATGTTCTATATATGTATTTGCTATATATATGTCTGCATATATATATATATATATATATATATATATATGTATGTATGTATGTATATCTAAACATGCAAAATCATTATACAGTCAGAAATGGAAGAGATACCAGAGGCTTTGAATTATAAGAATAGAAAAGGTAGCTTGTTTCAAGTTCTACAGATACACCAAAATAGACATGCGGGATATCATTATGAAACAAAGTGATCAAGCTACCATCTGAAAATGTCACCCACAACAAAAATAAATCTGCTCTGCAATTGACTATATTTAGATGAATTATGTAAAATCATAAGCAAAATGCTAAGTAGTCCTTTATAGTATCTTGAGCTGAGATTATTTATAACTCATTAAGAGATTTATGGTAAATGGGTATGTGTTGGGTTTTTTTTTCCTTCCTTAATCATCCTGGTGAAACAAAGTACTGTGAAGGTCTTACAGGACCTTCAAGGCCAGAAAAGTCAAGCATATATATTCATCATAGCATATCTTTATATAGTCTCACACTTTCACTCTAAAATATTTTGCTGCCAAAGGGTTGCAAATGTAAGTGGAATTTCACAATCTATCTCTTCTGTGCTTACTCAGCTGCCCTTAGTATAAAGTCGTTGGTCAGGAAAAATCAATGGATTCCAGAAGTATCAGAACAGACATAATTAATGTTATAAATAATTATTGACACTATACCTGAAATAGTGGCAAAAAGTATCTGTTGATAAGATTTACTGAGATTGTCAAAGTTTTTCAACTGTTCTTAGCATTCATTCTTGTAATGGATTTAATCCCTCTTATGATGTACCAATTGCAGCAAGAATACAAGAATGAATTAGTTGTCTAATTATCAGCACCTTTCCTGTGCTCATTTAAAAAAAAAAAAATAAAAAAATAGCTCAACCATAGAACAGCCTGATCTCTCTCCCTATCTTTAAACTAATCAAGTCTCTCTTTTTTGAAGCTTGTTGATCTTAAAGTTCACTAAAGCCGAGTATCCTGGCATCTCCATGTCCAGTGCATTAAATTGGCACTGCATAGAAAACACTTTCTGATCACTGTTGGTCTTCAGTGAACAATATATAGAGAGATAAATTGAAGAGTTATGTGTAGCCTTGCCAGCTCTTATTGCTATTCAGTGGAATTTAAAGGCCAACATTTAACCATATTGCTAACAGAAGACTTTCTTTATCTGCAAAATAAATAATAATGCAAGTCCATCAGCTGTGTTCTTTGTGGATGGAATATAAGCTGTGCAAAATTAAACGCTATTTAGACAGCATTTAATATGACTTGTTTGATTTTCTATTTCTCCTCTATTCATCCTACATTTATAACTTACTGTGGAGGCATGAAATACATGGCATATAAATACATCTATTTTATATATAATTAACCATTGCAGCAGAAAATTAAAAGCAGCAGTATGTTTAAAGTAGAAGTAGGACTTTTAACATTTGGAACTAAGCCTCATAAATCTAGTTTATGGGTGTAAAAACTGGTGGTAATAATTTTGAGTAGAAAAAGTCTGTGTCCAGATTCACTACTGCAAAACCAGGATTATAGATAAGATTCTTGCCTGTTTACAATCTGCCAGATTTAATATTACCCATTTTAGGGTGAAAACCTAGGGAATATTTTTATAAATTTTGTTAAGTCAAATAAATCACACTCTAGGCATTTGAAAGAATGGAATGTTTATGCTGAAGACAAAGCAAAAAGAGGTAGGGATGGCAATTTTCTTCTATTTTCCATCAATTCTTTTTGGTTTTAGATGCCTGCTATCAGCAAAATATTCTGGCTTCTAGTAGAGTGCTCAGATGTCAGCTGTAGGTGTAATATGGGAATAGAAATTCTGGGAAAGACTAGAATTCAGACAGAAAAGTACTGACTCCAAAATCTTGCTGTTAATCTTTCAGCCTAGAAGGTTTTTGGAGTACTTTCGGATTCCCTTAGCTCTCCCCATTGACAGACTCCAGGGAGACACAGTGATGTGGTTTATTCTTCCAGAACTAACAGGGTACTACTTTCCCTAAGTTTACAAGGTTAATTTAACTATTTTTGTCTAGTTTTTTTTGGAGTTGGGACTTGGTCTTTGGTCACTAAATTAATCCTTCTAATCCTTTTACAAGAAAACTATTTTCACATCAGCTTGCCAAATAAGGAAAGAAAGACTTTCTAGTATTGTGACTGCTTCTTAGATCCTACCAGGCAACTACAAAATTTCCAGCTATTAAGCAAATATGTAACTCAGAAATTCACTGAGGAAGGAGTTGTAGTCTTACTGAAAAAGTTATTAAAATATGCTGTGATGAGACACATTAAGCAGTACTTTCCTCTCATTTCTTGCCCTCCAAGATGATTATTGCATTCTAACAGCTCAGAGTCATGATGGCAATATTTTAATTTGCAATTTCTTTTCAGAAGTAAAACTGGA